GGCTCAGTGGTTGAGCACTGACCTATGAACCAGGAGGTTCACAGTTCCATTGCCAATCAGGGCACCTGCCCAGGTTGTGGGCTTGATCCCTGGTGTGGGGTGTGCAGGAGGCAGCCGATGAATGATTCTCTCTCATCACTGATGTTTCTATCTCTCTATCCTTCTCCCTTCCTCTCTGAAATCAATAAAATTTAAAAAAGAAAGAAAATCAGGCTTCTCACTATCAGAGAAGGATTGTCACTGATTTTGAAAGAGAGAAAACGGAATGAGCCCTGTGGACATAGAGATTGGAATGGAATGTATTGGGCAAATTCATGCTTTCCTATATAGATAGATGATAGCTAGGTAGATAGATGTTTGTGTATGTACATGCCTGTATATACACACATATAAAGGGGTAGGGTCCCAGCTGCTGTCATGATGGGAGGGTAAAGTTGACCACTGCCAGTAGTATGTGATGATGGAGATGGAAGGCTCTTTCTGAATTCATTAACCAGATCTGCCACTTACAAGTGGGGTGACCCAGTTATTTAATCTTGACGAACCTCAGAATCCTCATCTATGAAGCAGAGATAATAATAGCACCTACCTCAGGGATGGAGAACGTCTGGCCCACAGGCACTCTAAGGCCTGCAAAATCATTTGGTCTGGGCCTGGCAAGGCATTAGGGGAGAGTTACTTAAATATTTGACCAAGTATAGCAGGCTATTTTTTATTTATTTATGGGCTCTCTATTCTGTTCATTTATTTTGATTTTTTAAAATTCTTTATTGTTGAAAGTTTTACATATGTCTCTTTTTTCCTGCATTGACCTCTTCCTGCCTGCTCCTGCTCCCCAACACATGCCCCTACCCCACTATTGTCTGTATCCATTGATCCTGTTCATATGCATGGATTCAAGTTCTGTGGTTGATCTCTTACCCACCCCACCCTCCCCTGCCTTCTCTCTGAGGTTTGACAGTCTATTCAATGCTTCTATGTCTCTGGATCTATTTTTGTTCATCAATTTATATTGTTTATTATATTCCACAAATGAGTGATATGTGATATTTATCTTTCTCCATATGGCTTATTTCTCTTAAATGCTCTCCAGATCCATCCATGGTGTTGCAAATGTTAAGATTTCTTTATTTTTTTTATAGCAGCATAGTATTCAATTCTATAGATGTACCAGTTTTTTAATCCATTCATCTGCTGATGGGCACTTAGGCTGTTTCCAAATCTTAGCAATTGTAAATTGTGCTGCTATGAACATAGGGGTGCATATATTCTGATTTCTTGGGATATACTCCTAGAAGTGGAATTACTGGGTCAAATGGGAGTTCCATTTTTAATTTTTTGAGGAAACTCCATACTGTTCTCCACAGTGGCCGCACCAGCCTGCATTCCCACCAGCAGTGCACAAGGGTTCCTTTTTCTCCACATCCTTGCCAGCACTTGTCATTG